CTGACAGCAAGTGGGAAACGCTGCCCCACGAATGCGCGATTCCGCCCGCCCGGGATTTTCGATGTGAGCTTGCGGAGGCGGCGGCTTCCATCGTTGTCATTTATGCCGACAAGCACAGTCGCTTTTGGACGACGCCCATGCAGCCCACGCAGGGGGCCACCAGGGAGTGGGCAGCGCGGCTAGCCGAGGAGACAGCTTGGGCAGACGTCGATGGCAAACTACCCAGGGCGCTCCGGAGGCGATTCCTTCGAGGCAGCTCGCGGCCGACCGTTGTTCGCGGGGGGGCGCTGTTGGGGAAGAGGCAAGGGCGCGAGAAGAAAGGATTGGCATGTCGCTCAGCTGCCGAAATCCGCTTCCACGGAAAATTTGACGACGCCAGCGACTTGGAGTAGCGGGGGAAGGAACGCGCGCAGCGTTGCCTTTCGGAAACGCAAGTGGCCTCGATGATTCCAGCTGGTCCGTGGGCAGACAGCGCTCTGCGCCAGTGGGTCCGTGATCAGACCGTCGAAGTCGCTCGCTTGGACCTGCCAGGGGTGGCCCAGAGCGCAGGAGGAACACAGGGCTACGCATGTCTATCGCTGGGTTGATGAAGGCATCCATGCGCACGAACACGCGACGCGACATTTCCGACGCGATTGCATTGCGTTTTCGCCCGATGGCCGCCGGCCCCTTGCTGCCCGCCACGACGGCGCGCGGCGGTTGAAGTCCGATGTTTCCAGGGCCGAAAAGGCAAAGAGGGGCCTAGGCTGCCGACCAGCACCGGTGCAACTGCGCGGAGACCGGGCGCGGTGGAAGCACGCGTTCGTGCTCCCGCTGTTCGATGAGAAAGAAGGAGGCCGCTGGAGGCGCAGCGCGACGCCGCAGCAGGTTGGGGCAGCGGCGAGACATCCCGCCTTCGCAGGCAAGTGAGCTCGCGCGCGGCGCCCAGCTGCGAGCGATCGCTCGCGCGCAAGCTGCTTGCCCGAGGTGGCTGCGTTTTGCTCGCCGCCCCCGCGCAGGCCCCTCGACGCGAGCGCGCGTGCAGCGCGGCGCCGCGGCGGACAGACAGGTCTGCGAAGGCGCATCTGATCCAACGCTTGCTGGACAGCATCGCCACCATCAATCTTGCGATGTCGAGCCTATTGGTTGACCATGTTTGGGGGCAGATTGGCTGCGCGCTGCAAATTCTGGCGCGGCAGCAGATCGAATGGGGCAGATTTTTCTGTCAGGCTGATGCAACTGGGAAAGTCAGCTGGCGGGGCCCAGAAGCGGTCCACGAACACCACCAAGCACATGGAGTCTGTCCGCCCTTCAGGCCAAGCTGCCGTCACCAGACATACTTATGACCCCGCTTGCGCAATTACTTGCCAACGAGCTGTGCGACCATAGCGTCGCAGAGGATGCTGCGATCCAGAGTGCGGCGTTTCATCTGTCTCAGTGTTACCACTGCCCGCGGACTGGCAGCCTGAAGGGGGGCATCTTGCGCGGGCAGTCGATCGAATTCAGCCCGCGGCGTCTTGCTGCGGGTGCCATGCGGCCGAGCGCGTCCCCGATGAGACCGAAGGCTCATTAACGGCGCGAGATGGGCCTGGCGGCATTGATCGGACTTGAACCCGAGACGCGTTGGACTCACACGGGCACAGAGTTCGGATGCACGGGCGCGCATTTCAACGCGCGCCGCGGCAGCGTGCTCACGCCTTAGGGTTTCAGCGTCGAACTGATGTCCCGATTTTTCTTTCAGCCGTTCGCGCGGATCCTGCGATGGCCCCGGCGACGCTAGACAGAGCAAATCACCCCCCGATTCTGCGCGCCCCCACCCGCCGCCCTCCTGCGCAGGCGGGGAATTCGGCCCCCGCCTCCCCCTCGAGTTTTTCCACATCTGTCGCGACGTCACTGCCGCTCCTTCTGCCTCAGCCATGTTTGGCTCCACGTTGTTTGTAGCGCGATTCGAAGCTTAGAATATTCCAGCTGTCTGCGGCGGCGAGTCCGCGAGCGCCGGGCCCCTGCGTCGGGCGCCGCAGTTGGGCGGCAAGTGGCGGTTCGCATGCCGTCGTGCGTGCGCCCAGGGTAACCGCGATGGCCTCGCGGACTTTCTCCAGCGGTGAATCAGGGCGCGCGTCGACAAGGCGATCGGCGAGCCACGTGAAGCAGGGCGGCGAGGGGGCGCGCGCGCGTGCCAGCGGCGACCGACAACTTCACAGAGTGAGTCGCGCCTGGGCCGCCGTGATAATCGGTAGCTGCGCCCCCCTGCTCGCGCTCGAAAGAAACGCCCCCCCGTCGAGGAGACGCGAGCGGGGGGGGGGGCGGGCGCAGAGGGAGGATCGGAATATATTAGTTAGTAAAGGACGATCAGACCAGATATGTACGAATTATTTTTTAATCATTTGCATTTTTATTCTTATACATTATACTCAGGCCACATTTCCACCGCGAAAATTGTAGAATTACTTAGCGAACTCCGCCAGTTAGTTAACTCAGCTTCGGTTGCGTTCGTTAGCGGACGCTCCAATTAGCCATCCTAGGGGACCTCAAGGCATGCATGGCCAGGCGCCAGGATCGGCGTCGGCGGTGGGCAGCCGCCCAGGCCAATACTCCCCGACTTTCCAGACATGCTCGCGTCATGGAAAAATCACGACGAGAGGTTTGGGACCATTGTCGGTTTCTGGGGATTCTCGCGGGGCGCTAGGACCGAACAACAGAACACCATCGATGAGAAGCCGGCCCCGGGGGAAAGCGCTGGGATTTCTGGCGCCCCGTATTCCAGACATCTGGACGCCGCTTGTTTGAGCCCGGAGCGGGAGCTCCCGACCTATACGTTTCGAGTTCCTCCGATGTCGGTGGGTGCCCCGCTCTTTCGTCGCTGCTTCCGCTTATTTTCTCCCAGGTTGGACCTGTGCCGGTGGGGGGCCGTCGGCCCCTGAAGCCCGCTTATACTCGGTCGTTGCACCCTTCCCGGGGTCCACGCAGGCTGGTTCTTCATCTGGTGTGATCGCCGCGCGGCTTGCGAAGAGCATTGAGGAGCTCGAAGTGGAAGGCCCGCTGGGTTGCACTTTGCCGAACCTAAGGTATCAGCACCCCTCTACTCCTTGAGCACCCACCGCGGTCGCGCGGGTCGCCGCAAGGGCGACGCAAAATGGTGGCGTTTGCGTGCCAGGGCATTTTCTTTTGCGGAGTCGGGCGCCCTGGCGCGGACGGCCGAACGAACCCTGCAGCGAGACGCCCTGGCCACGCGGTCGCCGCCGCAAAAACTGCCCGTTCAACGTTGGCGCCGCGCAAAGGCGGCGCCGAACGGCGTGATCCAGGCACGCATCGACTTGCGACGGCCCCAGGGCTCGAAGTACCCCCCCCCCAGGGGCGGCCCGAGGGCCCGAAGTAAGCCCCCACCCGGGGCGGCCGGATTCGATGGGAAGCCTCCAGCGCCCGTCTTGAATTTCCATGGTCGTAGGATAATCATTGTTGATCCCCCCCTGCAAGTAAACATTGTGCTCTTTCAGTTGAATGCCCCCTCTCGGGGCTCGCACCCCGTTGCTCCTCAGGGAAAGTCTTCGTGCTCAAACTGGGTCGTTGGTCCCCCCAACTACAACGACAACGGTTCTCGTTTTGATACTTCCTCACAATAGATTCGAAAAGCGCGCCCTCGCGCGAGACCCTCACAATTTATGCAAGAATCGCGCTCGCGCCGGGGAAACCCTTGCAATTTATTCGGAGTTCGCGCTCTCGACACCCAGGAATCACGTTCTCGCGCTAGTCTATCTCACGATTCAATCGGGAATCGCGCTATCGCTTGAAACTTCCTCGCGACTAGCGCAGGATTCACACTTTAGCACCCCGCCTGCTCGATCTGGCCGCCTGAGCCCGCCTTCCCGTCCCGCCTGCTAGGAGTTGCTTGCCCAATCTGCCCGTCTGGTTTTGCCACGTGTTTCCTGTCAACTTTTTTCCTGCTCCATCCTTCTCACTCCCCCTTTTCCATCCGTTTTGGTTTCCCATGTTTTTGGTTTTCGGCGACATTCGCGTGGCAAGTAATGAATACAGCTTATGTACATATGTGTATATATACACCTATTCACATATTAATATGCACATGCACCTATATATACACATGTATGTATGCATGTGTGTGAATGTATGTATGTATGTATATATATATATATATATATATATATATATATATATATATATATATATATATACATATATACATACATGCACATATACATACATATACATACATACATACATATATATATATACATACATATATATATGTATATATATGTGGATATGTGTATGTGTGTATGGGTGCAGGCACATATACATATATATATATATATATATATACACACCCATACTTGTATAGGGGCCGGCGGGGCCAGAAACAACAAAAAACAAAAACAAAAACAAAACACGCCCCCCACCCCACCCCACCACACTAACGAATTTGGCCCACCCTGGGCCTGTCGGGCAGCCCCCCAGACGACATGGGAGGACCTCACGAGATCCCGAAGACTTGTGGGTGATTTCTGAGTTCTCCCCTTTTCGGTTTCGCGACGCTCCAAGACGGCCCACGAGGCCCCCAAGATCGCCCTAAGAAGGCCCGACAGACCTCCAAGAGGGCCCCAAGCCAGCGCAAGAGGGCCCCCAGACAGTCCCGACAGGGCCCCAGGAGGTCCCAGGAGGTTCCCAAGAGGCCCCGAAGGGGCCCCAAGAGGCCCCCAAGAGGCCCCCAGGAAACCCCAAGAGGTCCCCAAGAGTCTCAAAAGATCCTCCGTAGCTTTTTTTTGTCTCAAGACGTTTTGGCCAGAGCTCGAGGGGGCAAAGCACCCTGCGCCGCAGAAGGACCCCCCCGCCCCTCGAGAGTTCGAACAGATGGCGAGCCCCGCGCGCGTCCGGCTCCCGGCCGTCGGCGAGCAGCTCAGGAGACCAAGGGCGGCGATGGCGTGGGCGGAGGTGGCCAGCCCGACGGCCGCACCGAGGCCGAGGCCACCTTCGACTCCTCGCGGGGACCCCTGCGCGGTGGCGAGGGCGCTCCAGTGCGCCGTTCTGGGCAGGCTGCCCGCCGGCCGGGGGGACGCCCTGCCGCGCTGTGACGCCCTCGGCCCCCTCGGGATCCGCAGGCCACCACCCACCAAACCACCCCAGCCCAGCCCGAAGGCCCAGATCGACCCCCTCGATGTCCAGTGGGGGGGGGGGGGGGAGCAGCGCGACAAAAACGCGCGTGGAGCCCGCGCCCCCCCCCCCCCCACACACCCCGAAAAACTCGGGCCTTCGGGTCAGGTTGGGGGTGGCCTGGTGGGTGGCCAGCAGGCCCGTGGGGCTCAAGCTCCTTGGGCCTCTGGCCCCCTGGCCCCTCGACGGCCTCCCCGAGCTGCAGCGGCTCGCCGCGGGGGCCTCCGCGCCCCGCCCCTGCAGCGGCACGCCGGGCCGGCGCGCGGCCGAGCTGCTCCCGGCGCTCGAGCCGCCCCGGAGGGAGCCCGCCGCCGGCACGGCGACGAGCGGCCAGACGAGCGGCAAGGGGTCGACCTCGGACCTCTCCATGGGGTCCCCGAGTCCCGGCGAGCCGGGCGCCCGGCTGCGTCGGACCAGCGCGACCGCCCGCGAGGGCGAGCGGCCCCCCTCTCGACGGCGGCCGGCCCGGCCCACCTCGGCGACTTCGACGGCAGCGGGCCCCTGCGGCCCGGGGACAGCGCGGCCCACGCGCCCGCGAGGGGAGGCGCCTGGCGGGGCCCGCCCGGGCTGCGCCGGGAGGTCGGTGTCGGCGAGGGGCAGCAGGCTCCCGCGCGCGTCTGGCGCCTGAGAGGCCGAGGCTCCTCCTCCTCCTCCTCGTCCTCTGGGGGGGAGTTCGAGGCGGGGCAGCCGGTGGCCAGAGCACCGCCGAGAGACGGCCTGGTCACTGCGCGCTGCTGAGAGACGGCCTGGTCCGGCCGATGGGCCGATGAGTGTGGCCCAGTGCCGCTGCTGGGGACTGGCCCTCGTCAGAGGAGGAGGAGGAGGAGGAGGCGGAGGCGGAGGAGGAGGCGGAGGAGGAGGAGGAGAAGGAGGAGGAGAAAAAGGAGGAGGAGCACTGGCCAGGCCGTTGTGCAGGTCCTGCCGGCCGTTGTGCAGAACCAGTCGGAGTAACTTTGTACCGTGGCGGAGTCCCCGTCCCAGAAGCCGGTCGGTGGCTCGCACCCGTCCCGATGATTGTTGGGGTCCACATTGGGCCCATTTTCGATCCGCCAGACCTGGCGGCCTCAGTTTGGATTACAGGCTCCGAGCGTTCACGTTAACGTTCTGGTGTGGGCGCGTCGCCACACATCACAGTTCTCGCTACATCGGGAGTGATTTGAATGTCTCAGACCATTCCCGATCTCTCCACCCATTGAAATTCCCACGCCATTCGTCCTCCCCAAATCCATTACGCGGAAACTCTTTGGCATGCTACTCACGCCGAGGCGTGCTGCGCGGTCCGCTAACCTCGGTGCTGCAAGCTGTCATTATTTCAGCGGCTTGCCTTTGCTGTTCTAGTGAACTGACGACGGGGAGGTTTTCCTCCATGTTCCGAGCGCCTATGGCCCAGGGCCGTTGTGGCACGTGGCGGGTTCAAGTCCCGCATCAATCGTGAAGCCAGCTCGTCGACGCTGGACTCAGCATCCTCCCTCGCCGATGCTCCCACGGGGCTCCACATGGATCACGGGTCCGCGTGGATGTCTCGGATCGGGATGGGATCCCCCTGGTTGATGACGTCGTGCCCAAAGTGGCTAGCGGAACGCTCGCGCCCCGCTCGGGCAGCACACGGTGGCCAGGAGCTCCAGGGCCAGGGTGTTCGGCATGGTCGGCGCGGAGCATTTTTGGGCCCGCGCTCCAAGGCGGCCTGGTTTGCAAGAAAATATGGGAAAATATAGGGGATATTTTTATTTGTGTGTATTTATTCGTGTGTCCCAGGGCCCCTTCAAGGGTGGTGATGACTGGGGGGGCTTGGACAGCCTGGCCAGGGCCACGATGCCTGCTCGGACTTCATGAGTCGGGTCTGTGCAAGCAGCGCGTGGCATATTTGTCTCTTTGATTTTATCCTAATTCGGTCTCAGTCGGCGCAGCAGGTGCCAGTTCTGGTCGTGCATTTTTCGAGAAGGCTGGCTTTTGGGGGTGGTACGCGGGGATCGAAGCCTACACAGCCAGCGCACCTTTGCAGTGGCGCTACATGTCCTGCAGGTGCCGCACCGAATCTGCACAATGTTAAGCAGTGTTGCCAGATTCGCATCCTCCTTGACTGCCCACGCGTCCGTCCAGATACTCGGCTCTGCGAATGCACGCCAAAATTCATGTCCAGGCAGCCTTGGGATACAGATATGGCTCGGTCCACATTCTTCCATAGCGCTAACAGAACTCCCCTTTCCATCAGTTGGAAAGTCGGCGATTTCTTGTCACATGCGCTTGTATCTTGCATTGATAAAATGTGCGTTGCAGATGTCAGGTCTGATTCGTCGTGCTTGTTGCGCACAGGCCAGTATAGGCCGAGGGCCGTATACAGAACCTGAAGCCTACAGCCATCGCTGCGAACAATCGAAGAGCCACAACGAAACAAACATAGTCCCAAAAGATCCTGCAAGGACCCCACAGAAGTTCAAAACTCCCGAACAGGCTCCCAAGACAGTCCCAGAACGGGTCCGGAGCCCGAACATGACCCCAAGACAGCCCAACACAGCCAACACGTACGCGCCCCAAGACGGGCCTAAGCCATAACGGGACCGCACCACGTCCCACAGAGGCCCTCAGAAGGCTCTGGGAGGCTCCTATAAGGTCCACGTGACGTTAACACTCTGAACTCGAGGCCTCCAAAGAGCGAGCGGTTGCGCAAAACAACTTCAGCGTCGAGACAATCGAGCCCCGCTGCGACACGGTCCCGAGGCCCCCCAAGGCCCGCACACGGCTCCTTCCAGAGTCCCAACGACTCGTTCATTGGTAAGCCCAGGTCGCCGTTCCATTCTGCAGTGTCCTCACGCCGTCTCCCACCCAAGTCTTTGGGCACTCGCGAGCCCTTTTCTGCGTTTCTGCCCCCCCCCCTCTGTGGCCATGACCGCGTACATGTATATAAACATGCATATGTGTACACGTAGATCTGCCCAAGTAGGCATTATACATGTATGCGCAAGCATGGCTATATATACGCAAACATACGTACATACACATCACATGAATACGTATCACAGACATTCACACATACATACATACATACATACATACATACATACATACATACATACATACATACATACGTACGTACGTACGTACGTACGTACGTACGTACGTACGTACGTACGTCGTGCATGCATGCATGCATGCATGCATGCATGCATGCATGCATGCATACATACATACATACATACATGCATGCATACATACATACACACATACATACATACATACATACGCACACATACATACATACATACATACATACATACATACATACATCAATCCATCCATCCATCAATGCATGCATGCATGCAGAGACAGACAGACAGACAGACAGACAGACAGACAGACAGACAGACAGACATACATTCCTACATACATACATACACACATACATACATACATACATACATACATACACACACATACATACATACATACATACATATATACATCCATCCATGCATGCATGCATGCATGCATGCATGCATACACATACATACATACATACATACATACATACATACATACATACATACATACATACATACATACTTACATACATACATACATGCGTGCATGCATACATACATACATACATACATACATACACACCTGTATCGAGATATACCCATATGAATATATGCGTGTAGACGTATATCCGCACACCTACATGTCTATGTATGTATGGCGTGCATGCGCGTGCGCACGTATGACATGTATGCAGACCTTTGCGCGCGCATGTGCGCGCGCACGCACGCCGCCCGCGCGCGAAACTCGAAGGACCAAGGTGCACGGCGCGAAGCGCCCGCGCGCGAAACTCGAAGGACCAAGGTGCATGGCTCGCAGCGCCACTGCAGTCTTGTATATATATGTATATATATATATATGTATACACACCCAGGGAGGGCACGATCGAAGACGAAGAGGGCGGGTACCGAGGGTTTGGGATATACGTGTTGAGTGACACGCGAGCAGTTGCGAGCGAACTGTCTTGAAACGATTGCTGTTGTTGACCCTCCCACCCCGCCGTCGAGGCCACCGTGGTCGAGGGCGCGGAGACCTACATCCGCGTGGCCGCGGCGGGCCAGGACTCGGGGAACGAAAAATGGCACGCGCATGGCATGAACTTCGGAGGTCCGCGCGGATTTCTCGGGCCGGCGCTGGCGCACTCCGCGCGTCAGGGAGGGGGGCCCGGCGCCGATCCGAGGAATGCGCGCGGACCTCCAGATGCTTTTGTTTATGGTTTGTTCTGGTTCGTCCAAGGACGGCCAGATCGTGATGTTCGAGCTGAGCACCGCCGCCGCGCCGGCGTGGCAGAAGATCGGCACCCTCCCGGTGCCCCACGAGCCCGAGGGCGATCGGGGGCGCGTGCAGAGTGGGGCTGTCGCCTCCCTGCTCCTCCTCCCTCCCTCCCCCCCTCCCTCCCTCCCTCCCTCCCTCTCATCCCTCCCCCCTCCTCCTCTTCCCCCTCGGTCCTCCTCCACCTCCGCCTCCCACTCCTCCTCCTCCTCCTCCGTCCTCCTCCTCCTCCCCCTCCTTCTCCTCCTCCTCCCCCCTCCTCCTCCTCCCCCTCCTCCTCCTCCTACCTCCTCCTCCTCCCTCCTCCTCCTCCTCCTCCCCTCCCCCTCCCCCTCCCCCTCCATCCTGCTTCCTTGTCCCTTTTCGCACCCCCGAACGCGTCGGTAGGGCATGCTGGGCGGTTCGCTCGGGACTTCCTCGCGCAAACAGATTTCGAAGTTCAGAACCTGCAACAGCTAAACGGATGGAGGGCGGATCGTATTCACAATGCGTTTCTCGCTCTAGCGCTGCGCACGTTTGTCGCAAAAGTTTGCAGTATCTTTACGGATGGAGGGCGGGTGGTATTCACAATGTGTTCGCGCCCCAGCGCCGCGCACAATCGTGTTCAACGTGTGCAGAATGTTCACGGATGGAGGGCGGGTGCAGTCACCTTGTTTCGCGGTGTTGAAGTCCCACGAACGGAATTTCGGCACGATTGTCAAGACGCAGCGGTCACGTTTATTCGCGACGCTGAAATCTTAGGCGTTGTGTTTTGGTACGATTGAGGATCCTCAGACTGTTGTCTTCAAATGGGCTGCTCCCCACACTGAAGGTTTATAACCTCAGGGACATATGAAGAGGGAACTTGGCGGGAGGGTGGATTCCAACATCGTTGATGCGTTTTGTGTTTTGCACTGGCCCCCCTTTTCCTTCCTCTCCTCCCCCTCCAACTCTCCTCCCTCCTCCGCCCCTCTCCTACTCCTCCCCCTCCTCTCCTCCTCCTCCTCCTACCTCCTCCTAACTCCTCCTCCTTCCTCCTCCTCCTCCCTCCTCTCCTCCTCACTCCTCCTCCCCCTCCTCCTCCTCCCTCCTCCTCCCCTCCTCCTCCCTCCTCCTCCTCCTCCTCCTCCTCCTCCTCCTCCTCCTCCTCCTCCTCCTCCGCCCCGAGGGGGCCCCTCCCGTAGGGGAGGGGTCGGGACCCTAGGGTCCTCCTGGCGCAGGCGGGGAGCGCCGGGCCCGAGGGGCGAAAATCCCCCGCACCCCGGGGGACGCCGCCAAAGTGCGGTTTCTTTCCCCCGGGGGAGCCGCCAGGCCTTGGTGCCTCCCCCAGGGCGGTGCTGGGTCCCCCCCAGCGCTCGCCGCCCTGGGGTGGGGCCGGCGGCTCGTCTCTGTCGTGTCGCTCGTCCGTGTCGTGTCGTTCGTGTCGCGTCGCTCGTTTCGTCCCCCCGTCGTGTCGCGTCGTGTCGTGGTCCCCCTTTTTTCTTTTCTCTTTTTTGTTTCGGTCCTGGGGGGTCCCTGGGTCCGAAACCGCGGCCACCTATGGAGTAGGTGGTGGGTAGGATGGGCGTCGGAGCACGTGCTCCGGCGCCCCCTACCCCGATCAGGGTTCGCGGAGCACGGTCTCCTTGCGTGCCCTGATCGCGCCCTGGCGCGCCACGGGGGCACGGCCCCGGCTGTGGCGCGGGTAGAGTGCGCCGTGAGCGTGCCGCGGAAGTCTTGGTGCTCAAAAAAAAAATCCTCCTCCTCCTCCTCCTCCTCCTCCTCCTCCTCCTCCTCCTCCTCCACCTCCTCCTCCTCCTCCTCCTCCTCCTCCTCCCTCCTCCCTCCTCCTCCTCCTCCTCCTCTCCTCCTCCTCCTCCTCCTCCTCCTCCCTCTCCCCTCCTCCTCCTCCTCCTCCTCCTCCTCCTCCTCCTCCTCCTCCTCCTCCTCCTCCTCCTCCTCCTCCTCCTCCTCCTCCTCCTCCTCCTCTCTCCGCCTCCTCCTCCTCCTCCTCCCACCTCTTGCTCCTCCTCCCCCTTCCTCCTCCCTCCCTCCCTCCCCTCCTCCTCCTCCTCCTCCTCCTCCTCCTCCGCCTCCTCCTCCGCCTCCTCCTCCTCCTCCTCCTCCTCCTCTCCTCCTCCTCCTACTTTCCTCCTCCTCCTCCTCCTCCACCTCCTCCTCCTCATCCTCCGCCTCCTCCTCCTCCCCTCCCCTCCTCCTCCTCCTCCCTCCTCCTCCCGCCCTCCTCCTCCTCCCCTCTCCTCCTCCTCCTCCTCCTCCTCCTCCTCCTCCTCCTCCTCCTCCTCCTCATTTCCCGTCTCCTCCTCCTTCCTACTCTTTCCTCCTCCTCCTCCTCCTCATCCTCCTCCTCCTCCTCCTCCTCCCCTCCTCCTCCTCCTTCCTACTCTTTCTCCTCCTCCTCCTCCTCCTCCTCCTCCTCTCCTCCTCCATCTCCTCCTCCCCCTCCTCCCCTCCTCCTCCTCATCTTCCTTCTCATCCTCCTCCTCATCATCTTCCTGTCTCCACCTTCCTCCTCATCATCGTCCTTTTCCCCCTGCTGCACGGCGACGCCTGTCACCAGGCGCATATTGGGCCTCGCCCCCTCCGCGCATTCATCTTTACATGCGAAGAATTCCCCCCCAGGCTCGGTCCCCCTGGGGCCGCGGGCGACTCCAGGTACGTGCCCCGCGCGCACGCGCCAGGGCATGTCGCCGCCCCCCCCCCCCCCCTCCGCGCACGCACGCTTAGCAGGTGCCCCGCGCGCACGCGCCAGGGGCACGTCGCCCCCATCCCCCCTGCTCCGCGCACGCATGCTTAGCAGGCAGCGAGACTCCGGCACCCCCAGCGCGCCGGGCGCAGGCCGGACCCCCCCCCCGCGTTGGTGCCCCCCCCCCCCGCCGCGCAGGTAGTCGCACGTGTCGAGAACTCGCCTGCTCCTGCTCCTGCTCCTCCTCCTCCTCCCCTCCTCCTCCCCTCCTCCTGCTCCTCCTCCTCCTCCTCCTCCTCCTCCTCCTCCTCCTCCTCCTCCTCCTCCTCCTCCTCCTCCTCCTCCTCCTCCTCCTGGTCCCCCCGGGTCTACTCTTTTGATCGCAACCGCGCCGAGAGCAGTCGGGCGGCGTCCAAGGGCGCAACAAGCTAAGCGGCGGCCTAACTTACGCGCAAAGGGAGGGGGAAAGAAGACGAGAGGGAGGGCAGCGGGGGGAGGAACAGCCAGGAGGCGGGCCTCGCTGCCGCTCAAAAGGGGGCGCCGTCGACCGGGAAGAACTCCCAGGCGGGGTGCACCGCCCAAACGGCGGGAATTCAGAGCCCCCCTGGGTCTACGTGGACACGTGAAAACGCGCTGCCCGCGCGCACGCGCCAGGGGCACGTGGGGCCACCCCCCTCCGCGCACGGAAGCTCGGCGGGTCGAGACCTCGGCACCTGCAGCTTGGGTCCCCCGTTCGCGGCCCCGCCGTGGCCCGAAGCAGGTGGAAGCGCGTGCCCCGCGCGCGCGCGCCGGGCGCATGTCGGGCCCCCCCTATCTGTTGGCCCCCCCCCCCCCTCCGCGCACGCGACTTCACACGCGAGGAAGTCGCCACCTCCAAGTTGGAGCTCCCCGCGCCCCGTGGGCACGCGACAACGCGCTACCCGGGCGCGCGCCCGCGCGCGCCAGAGGGCACGTGGGGCCCCCCACGCCCTCCTCGCACGCATGCTCAACGGGAAACGAGAGAGCTCGGCACCCGCAAGCTTGGCCCCTCGCTTGCGGCCCCTCCCCCTCCTCCTCCTCCTCCTCCTCCTCCTCCTCCTCCTCCTCCTCCTGGCCCCGTCGTGGCTTGAATGAAATGACAGCACGGGCTCCGAACGCACGCGCGCCGAGACTCGTGCTGGAGATCCCCCTTTCCGCACACGCACTGTTGCGTGTCCAGTTCCGGCGCCGCTGCTCGATACCTTTTTTCTGGGGGAGGGCCTGTGGCCCGCAAGCCATAAGAGAACCCTGGGCTGGAGCCCTTGACCCAGATAGAATAATCAAGCTGAGAGAAAAACTGAGAGAAAAGACAAAGACGGATGGTCAAAGCCTCCTCCTCCTCCACCTCCTTCTCCTCCTCCTTCTTCTCTCCTCCTCTTCTCTTCGGGGGAAACCGAAAAGTACTGATACCGCTACTCCTGGACCTCTCCTGGGGTGCGCCCTGATCAGCACTTCGAGGCGAATCCTGCCGTGGCGACGAGGGCCCCCCCAGAGAACCCAAGAAGGGGAAAACGAGGAAAGGGTAGCGACATGGCTAAGGTAGGTTCGTGCGGCGTCGGCGCGCAAGGTCTTTGGCGCGTCGATCATTCAACCTTGAACCGATCGTGGCCCCGATCGCTCAAAACTGAATCCCGTCGGGTCCCGAGGCGTTACCGTGTCCCTCGGTGCTTCCGCGCCGCAGAATTCAACCTGGAACACCTTCGACGGCGCCGCCCGCGCGCCAACGCCGCGCAAACCTACCGTACCCGTTCTTCCTCTGATCCTTCTCTCTCGCCATCGCTCGAACGTCCATTCCCCGTGTTTGTTTTGCTTCCGCGCGTGCATCCGTTCGCAATGCAAGATGCCCCAGGATGCTCCTCGAACAGCACGCGTCCGAGCGATGCCAAGTTCGATGCTCCGACACTACGAGGCCTCTTGGATGGGGTCGGAGTAGGTGTGCGCTCCGTGACAGAAGTCCCCTGGCGCATCTCTCTGGGCGCGGGGCGGGGGATCGCGCCGCCTCGCCGGCAATGCATCGGTGATACGTCGGACACGTCGGCGATTCATCGGCCACGCCAGCGTGGCGAAACACGGACTCCACATCGAGCCGCATCGTCGATGCATCGGCGATGCGGCGTGATCCTCCCACCCCATCTTCGGGCGTTGGCAGAACTGGGTTTAGTGGGACCTGGTTTAGTGATGTGTACTGGGGGACGCCCCCCCCGCCCCGTTCCACTAACCGGAGCTGCCGTCACCCGAGAAATCACCAGCTGCGGCAGACCTGGTTAAGTGATTCTGGCCAATTTAATGGCTCTGGGGCCCTACCACGAACCGAGTCCCCTCACCTGGGGTCCTGGCTATGCCCGACATCTGCCCGGACCCCACCTGGGAGGCCTGGATGAGGGTCAAAGATAGGGGGGGATAGGCACAGGGGGAGATGCATCGACCTGGAATCGGCGATACATCGCCGATGGATCGGCGATAGGCCTCCGATAGTGAATCTGCGCCTTCCTGGGCAGGGGGGGGCCATCGGGCCCCTCTCGGCGATCAATGGGCGTCTGGGGGTCGACGCGTCCCCCCCTACACCCAGCGAAATGCTTAAGAAATCATGGGTTAAGAAATTCAGAGCCTCATAATTTGAATAAAACCCAAAATTCCTATCAAAATTTTAGGATTCACATTGAAACAATAAGAATAATCGAGACTCTGGCCGAAACCTTACGTTTTCTTAAGCATCGCCTAGGGTGTATGCCTATCCCCCCCCCATCGTTGTTGCCCCTGGCCAGGCCCATCCTGGGCTGCCCATGCCTATCCCCCACTGTGCCCATCCTGGGCTGCCCATCCTGGGCTGCCCTATGCTAAAGGGAAACTGGGACACACAAATAAATACACACAAATAAAAGGAGTCCCCATATTTCCTTATATTTTCTGGGTTTTTGTCTTCCCCCCCACTTCCCATATTTTCCCATATTTTCCGGGGGATCGACGATTAATTGTGTCTGTGTGTTTTTTCCCCTCCTGATATGCCTATCCCCCCCCCCTGTCCTTGCCCCTGACTGGATCTCTGCTCCGACGCCCTCTGGGAAGCCCGGGGCGCCGCCGCCGACGTGCTCGCGCGCGCCGTCGTGGAGCCGGCCTCTGCCCCTCGCCGCCCGGCGCGGGGCTGCGGTGGCCGCCGCCCTCGGGGAGCCCGCGGTGGCGGCCAGCAGGCGCTGCAGCTCCTCTGGCGCTCTCTCGGATGGCTCCTCCGCCCTCTTCCTCCCTCCTCCTCCTCATCTCCCTCCTCCTCCCTCCTCCCTCCTCCCCCTCCCCCCTCCTCCTCCTCCCCCCCTCCTCCTCCTCCGCTTCCTCCTGCTCCTGCTCCTCCTTCTCCTCCTTCTTCTCCTCCTCCTCCTTTTTTAACGCTCGACCAACTAGAAGCGGCAGCCTGGCCTCCAACTCCTCCTCCTCCAACTCCTCCTCCTCCTCCTCCTCCTCCTCCTGTTCTCCCTCGTCGCTCCCCCTCTCTCTCCTTCTGCTCCTCGGGAAGCTGGCGATGGCGGCCCACAGGAGTCGCAGCTCCTCTTGTCTCCGGGGGTAGCTAGGAACTTGCCCTGGCCCAAGGTGCCCCCCAGGCTCTTCAAGGAGGCCCCCGATGGCCTCCAGAGAGCACCCTTCACGAGATCCAAGAGGGCCCCACGGGCTCCGAGATGGGCCTTCGTTTTTCGTGGAAGCCTACCTCTCTGTGCTCGTCTTTGTTGCTGGACAGGGGGGGGACCACAGAGACCTTGTGTTCTCCTCCTCCGTCCTTCTCCTCCTGCACACGCACCGATCCTGGCCAGGCCCGCCCAGGCCCCAGGATCGATGCCCACGCCCTCCTGCATGTGCACCGGTCCTGCGCCCAGGATGGGTCTGGTCAGCATCGGTGCTCCTCCTCCTCCTCCTCCTCCTCCTCCTCCTCCTCCTCCTCCTCCCTCCCTCCTCCCCTCCTCCTCCTCCTCCTCCTCCCTCCTCCTCCTCCTCCACCTCCTCCTCCTCCCTGCAGCGCAGCGTCGTCGCCTTGCACGCGCCCGCCCGCAGAGGCGGCCAGGCGCGGCCGGCTGAGGTTTTCGTTCGATCCCCTTCGGTCCTGGGTCGGGGCTGCGGCTCGCAGGCCGGACGGTTTGTAAGTACTCCAGATTTCGTAATAAAAGGGAGGGGGTCTGGACCCTCCAAGACAAGCCATTTCAGACCTCCCCCGTGGGAGAACCCTCCCAAACATCGTCCCCAGACCCCCCAGGCCCTCCAAGATAGCCTGGAAGAGACCCCCCCCGAAATGAGACCCCCCTCCCTTTATTACGAAATCTGGAGAACGCTGCGACGGCCTCGAGGTCGGTGCGTTCTTTCGCCCTTCGAAAACAGCAGAAGCCTAGATCTGTCGAGGCGCTGGCGGAATGGCGGCACAGCACGGCAGAGAGCGGCAGAGGATTGGCGAAAACCAAGGCTTCCACAAACACAAACCTGGCTCTTCTGGCTGCGTAATCAACCGATCCCTAACCGAAAAATATGGATCGCCATGTTGAACATACGTGTCGTCGTCGTCATCCTTGCTCTGATTTGTGGAAGCCTATCTTAGCCCAAACGTTGGCGGATCAGCAGCAAATAGCGGCAACTGGCGGCAGATAGCAGTAGCCGATTCGTGGCAAATAGCGGCGCACGCCCAGCGCCCACCGTCCACCAATCCCCCCCTATTCGCCGCCAGGGGCCGGCAACCGCCAAAGAAGAGCGCCAGGGGCCCGCAACCGCCAGAGAAGAGAACTGCTGGTGAAATCAACGGCCTCCGCCGCAAGCGTGCCTAGCTCCTCTCGCTGCGTGCTCACTCGACCCCTGCCCAGCAAGCAGTGCTGCCCACGTTGGACAGAATGCCACCATCGTCGTGGTATTCCTTGCCACGATTTGCGGAGCCCGCGATCCCCGCGCCACGGCGAACAAGCAGGCACCGACGCTCCTCTCACGCTCATGGCTCATGGAAACCTGTCCTAGTCAAGATGATGGCGCAGCAGCGGCGAGTAGCGGCAGATCGCGGTGGCCGCCTCGCGGCAAACAGCGGCGCACGCCCCGCGCCCACCGTCCACCACTCGCCCCACACTCGCCGCCAAGGCACGTTCAGCGCCAAGCAGGAAACCTCTCGCTGACATGCGAGGCTGCGAGAACAACGCACTTAGCTCCTCGGGCTGCGTGATCACTTGACCCCTAACCAGAAAACGTGAATCCCAGGGTTGAGCATGAATAACGTCGTCGACGCGTGCCATCGCCCGGACGTCCAATTCCCTTGCACGTTTCGGCTTCGTAAGTCTTATTTTTCGCCGGCTGATCCAAGATGCTCCTCTCCGCGGAATAATGCACACGCCCGAGCGATGCAGCTGCCGTCCTCGTCGTCGTCGTGGTCGCCGTCGTCGTACTTGCCCCGACTTGTGGGCGCCTCGATCGCAGCGGCGATCTGAAACGCCGACCCAGAAAGTTGTTTCGGGGACGGACATCCCGCAACGATCCTCGATCGTGGAGGCGACGAAAATCTTCGGATCATCGTTCTCCACGTGCTTCGCGGCGCGCTCGCCGGCATTGCTCTCCCACCACGAGATGAAGTCTTCTGCTCTTGCCTTCTCGTCGGCGTCCGCCACAAATACGATGACGGTCGACAGCGCGCCGCGCGCCCCAGCCTGAGGGTGGGCGCCAGCAGTACTGCTGTACCGCTCCTGTCCCTCCTGGCTTGGGCAGGTGCATGTGACGACCCTGGACCTGGGATGCGCCTGGCCAAGATGGGTGTACACATGTGCATACATATATACATACATACATATTTATATGTATGTATGTGTGTATGTATATGTGTGTATGCATGTATGTATGTGTATATATAGCTATATGTGTATGTGCGGGTTCCTGTCTGTTCCTTGCCGTGCATATATATATATATACATACATATAGATGTGTACACATCTATATTATGTATGCTTGCCCCCCCTTCCCCCGCCAGCACCACCAGACGACGGACTGGGGGGCGGGGGGGGGCATCATCCTCCTCATCATCTTTGCTCCTCTGCCTCCTCCTGCTCCCTTCTCCCTGCTTCACTCCTCCTCATCACTCGTCCTCCTCCCACCTCCTCTCTCCGCCTCATCCCTCCTCCTTCCTCCTCATCCGCCTCGTCCTCCTCCTCCTCCTCCTCCTCTTCCTCGTCCGCCTCCTCATCCTCCTCCTCCTCCTCCCGCTGCCATCATATTGCATCATCATCCTTCTTCTCATCTCCTCATCTCCCATACCTTCGATGCTTTTCATTTCTTTCTGCTGTCGTCCTCGCCCTCATCTGCGGAATCCTCTGGATCTGGGACCTGCTCCAACACTATTGAGAGCAAATCAAAATGCTATGCCAATTCAATGGGAATATTCCAGATGTAGGCTCAGTGCCTTGTCTGCGGGATCCATATGAGCATCCGGTCCACTTGCAATAAGGATCCTCTGGATCTGGAGTCTGCTCTTGCCGACTGGAATACAATCCGGAACTTGATCAAATTCAATAGGTATTATTTGGATCTGGGATCTGCTCTGTTCCTATGGAAACGGGCTGGAATCCGACTCACATTCATGAGAATCCCTCTGGATCTTACATCTGTTCCCTTCCTGATGAAATCCGACTCGGGCCCTCTTTCACATTCAAGAAGAAACCTCTGGATCTGGGGCTTACATCCACTCTGTTGCTTTTGACTTGTGCTGAGAGTTCCATCCAGATTCAAAGGAAATTTTCCAGACCTGGGATCACTTCCATGTCCCATTGAAACCGTATCAACATCATATGCAGATTGAATGAGAATCCCCCATACCTTGGATTTGCTCCGTTTCTATTGAATCTGTATGACAATCACATTCGGATTCAATCGTAATCCTCGAGATCCAGGATCTGCCTTTTCCTTTGAACATTCGAAGATGCTGAGGACCACCTTCTCCTCATCGTCCTCTTCACCTCTCCTGGTAACTCCTATTCCGAACCCTCCCTCTTCTCATCCTCCCCCCTCCGTCTTCTCATTCTTCTCATCTCCTCATCTCGTCTGGTGCCGTCAACCCCCTCATCTGCGGAATCCTCTGGATCTGGGATCTGCCCCGTTTCTATTGGAATCATACTCAGATCCGATTACGATTCGATTTGGATCTTATGGGTATGGGATGTGTTACGCTTCTATGGAAATGCGTTTCTATGGATATCAAACGCAAGCCCGATCCAAATGCAATAGGAACCCTCTGGTTCTGTGATCTGCTCTTTTCCGATTTGGAATCCGATCAGGAACTTGATCACATCCAATGGGACGCCTTGGGATACGGGATCTGCTTTGTTTCTATTGAAGTCCGCCTTGGATCCGATTCACATCCATTCGGCATCCTCTGGATCTGACATCTGCTCGCTTCCTACTGCAATCCGTTTCGCGCCCCGTTCACATGCAATAGGAACCCTCTAGATCTGGGATCTAGATCCACTTCGTTTCTATTGAACTTTGCTTAGAATCCCATCCAGATTCAAAAGGACTTATCCAGACCTGGAATCACTTGCATGTCCCACTGCAAATGTATCAACGTCCTATTCAAATTCAATGGAAATCCCCCGTACCTGGGATCTGCTCCGTTTCTATTGAAACTGTGTGAGAATCACATTCGGATTATATAATAATCCTCTTGATCCCGGATCTGCCTTTTTCCTGTGGACATTCGAGGATGCTGAGGAGAAAGGAGGAAGAGGAGGAGTGGCCCCTCGAACACCTTCTCCCCATCATCCATCATCCTCTTTACCCTCTCCTGGAAGCTCCTGTTCCGCGCCCTCCCCCTTCTCGACCTCCTTCCGCGCTCTCCAGGCCTTCTGGTTCTACTCTCGCCTCATGTTCCTCATCTTTGAGGCTGTCTACGTCTTTCTGGTGTCGTCCTCCCCCTCATCTGCGGAATCCTCTGGATCTGGGAGGCTGGGGAGAAGGAATGACGAGGAGGTGTCACCCCTCGACCACCTTCTCATCATCATCACTATGTTCCGTCCCCTCCCCCTTATGATCCTCCTCTCTCCGTCTCTTCCTTCCTCCGCCGCCGCCCCTGTGAGAGGTATGCGGATGAGAAGCAGGAGCAGGAGTGATAGACGGGGGAGGAGGAATAATTGGATGAAAAATAGGAGGAGGAGGAGGAGGAGGAGGAGGAGGAGGAGGAGGAGGAGGAGGAGGGCGAGGAGGAAGAGAGGAGGAGGGAGGAGGGAGGAGGAAGACGAGGAAGGGGAAGAGGAGGAGGAGGAGGAGGAGGAGGAGTGACTCCTGCGCCTCCTCCCCTTCCCTCCCTCACCTGGAGGGAATGGGGGAGGAACACAATCGAACCAACAAGAAAACAAGTTAGCCCGACGAAGGACCCAACCATATGCAGCTGCGAGTACCTCGAGGCGGGTTTGACGAATGACGGGGGGGCAACCAAAGGCATGCGAACACCGCCGCTGGGGCATTCGGTGGAGCGGCCTACGGGGTCACGACACGCTGTACTGGACGGGGTGACCGCATGCAGACACCGCCACTTGGGCCTGGGTGGACGCCCCTAATGGGGCCACGAAGCGCTATGCTGCGTGCGGGGAATGCATGCGGACACCGCAACTTGAGCCTTCGTGCCGCGAAAAACTGTACTGGGTGCGGGAAACGCATACGGACACCGTCATTTGGGCCTGCGGTGGAGCTCCTCTTGGGGCCACGACGTGCTATACTGGGTGGGGGAAACGCATGCTGACACCGCCCTGCCGCCCTGGGGACCTTCAGTGGAGCTCCCCCTGGGGCCACGACGCGCTGTACTGGGTGGGAGAAACGCATGCGGGCACCGCCACTGTGGCCGTCGGTGAAGCTCCCTCTGGGGCCACGACACGCTGTACTGGGTGGGGGAAACGCATACGGGCACCGCATCTCTGGCCTATGGTGGAAGCTCTGGATGGAACCGCGAAGCACTATACTGAGCCGGGGAACTGCATGCGGACACCGCCGCTGGGGCATTCGGTGGAGTTCCCCATGGGGCCACAAAGCGCTGTACTGGGTGCAGGAAACGCATGCGGACGCCGCCTCTGGGGCCTTCGGCGGAGCTCGCTGTGGGGCCACAAAGCGCTGTACTGGGTGGGGGAAACGCATGCTGTCACCGCCCTGCCGCCCTGGGGGCCTTCAGTGGAGCTCCCTCTGGGGCTGCGACACGCTGTACTGGGAGGGGGAACTGCATGCAAACACCGCCACTGGGGCCTTCGGTGGAGCTGTACTGAGAGGGGGAACCGCATGCGGACACCACCACTGGGGCCTTCGGTGAGCTTCCTATGGCGTCACGACACGCTGCACTGGGTGGGGGAACCGCATGCGGAGCTCCTTCCCTGCATGTCACGAAGCGATGGGCCCCCCCCCTCCCTGGCGCGCTCCGCGCGCCAGGGGCGGCGCTGGAAGCGCCGCCAGGTGGGGGAGCCCATCGCAGAGCCAAGAACTCCGCGGGGAGCGTCAACATTTTTTTCTGGTTATGCCGTGGTGCGTTCTTCGAGGAGCCTGTCCGAGCGCCAGGCTGGTCCAGGTTCTCGGCTGGTAGAGCCCGTCGTCCTCGACGGCGCAAACGCAATCCTCCGCCTCCGGCCACCCGACCACCAGGGTGGCGTAGGGGGTGACGTCCGGACGGCGCTTGATCAGGAAGACCCACTTCTTGAAGTTACGAAGGGTCAACTGGGTGCCGCCGTACCTGGAGGGAGAACAAGTAGCATAAAAGTAAACCGTCGAAACTCCGCAGGGATTCCTTGGATCGGCGCTGTACCCCCTCCCTGGCGCGCGACGCGCGCCGGGGGCGGCGCCAGAGGCGCCGCCAAGGGGGCCCAGCGCAGATCCAACAACTCCGCGCGGACCTCCGACACCTTACACTCATGCCGCTTCGTTTTGGACGCCCGAAATGGGTACGCAAGGAAAACATGAGTACGATGCCCAACAATAAATGTTGTCCAGAACCGACATCCGTCGCTGTTGGGCGGGCGGCCGTCTCTGTCTCAAATAGACAACGTCCGCGGCGACGCCGACAGCGAACCCTGACCGAGATGGATAAGAACTGCTGTCGGTCTTCGTACCCATTGTTTCCGTACCCATTTCGGATCTCCGATTCCTTCTTCGAGATTCGAGTGCCGCTGCATCGCCGACGCCGCGCGGGCCGTCAGGTCTGCGCTGCCGGCGCTGCCGACGCACCAGAGCAGCCTCGGATGCTCATTCTGGGGACCTTCTCTGACCCGCTCGCTCCAGTCGTGCGTCGAAGCTGCGTCGAACGTCGGTCGATTCGAGTCGAAGCTGAGTCGAAGCTGAGTTGACTCTGAGTCGATCATGAGTCGCACTTGAATCGGACCTGTATCGAGTTCGAATAAGAGTCGAGCTAGGGTCGAACTAGAGCCGTATAGGTTCGCTAGGTGGTCCCAAAGAAGATTCCCCAAATAAACATCCATCGAGCGCGGCCTGACCAACCGTGGCAGACCATTCCCTTCCGTGACGGCAGACCATTCCCTTCCGTGACGTCCGCAGACCATCCCCTTCCGTGACTCCACTCGGCCAACATACATCCGTCGTGGGGCGAGGAGAGGGGGACTTCACGCACGGAAGGGGGCGGTGTGCTAAGGGTCGGTGAATTGAGCAGGGCCCGACCGTCCAGGTGTTCCTTACGACATGTTCTCATACCCAACACATGCTATCACAACAAGCGCAGTGATATTAAATTATAAACGCGATGTGCGCAAACTACAAAGGCGAAATACCCAACCATGTGCAGTTGTGAGCAACGCAGTTGTAAGAATCGTCTTCGATGGAGCTCCTTATGGGGCCACGAAACGTATAAGAGATGTACCGAATTGGGAGCGGTGAGCGCATGCCAACGCGTTTGAGGGGTGTGCCGAAATGGGGCCTTCGGTGGAACTCATCATGGGATCACGAAACGTGTGAGTGGTGCGCCGAATTGAACGCGGCGGTGCAATGCAAGCGCAACCACTGGGGCCTTCGGTGGAGCTCCCTATGTTGCCACGAAGCGTGTGAGGGGCGTACCGGCATGAGTGCTGTGGTGCCATGCGAGCGCAGCCACTGGGGCCTTCGGTGGAGCTCCATCTGGGGTCACGAAGCGTGTAAGGGGCGCGCCGACATGGGCGCGGCGGTGCTATGCGAGCGCAGCCACTGGGGCCCTCGGTGGAACTCTCCATGGGGCTACACAACGTGAGAGGGGCGTGCCGAAATGGTTGACTGGTGCTAGAGGGGTGCGAGAATGGGGAGTAGGGGGCAGCGGGAGAAGGAACGCGGGGCGCTCTCTCTTCAAAACGAGGGCCCAACACCACAGGATGGTCGTGAACAAGACCGCCTCAGCCAGAAAAGCTCTGAGAACACGTCGTGCAAGCCACAGCGAAGGCTCTCATAACATCCTCTGCTGGTCCTATGACTATAGAGGCCTCCCTGATGGGGTCGGAATAGATGGGGTCGGAGGATCGCGCCACATCGCCGAACATCAGCGATGCATTCGTGATGCACCGCCGATGTTTTGGCAATGCACCAGCGATGCGTCGTCGACGTCGGCGGTCCATCGGCGACGAGGGCGTGAAGCAAATCGGGCTCCGCATCGGGCCGCATCGGCGACGCACCGGCGACGCATCCGCGATGCGGCGCGATCCTCCGACGCCATCCACTCCGACCCCATCTGGGAGAACCAGAATGGCTAGGCAAGCCAGGACGCCTTGCCACTGCTTGAGTCAGGCCACCCCTGAATCTGAGCAGCGTCGGCTTCTCGGCGTGGGGATGCTGGAGAAGGAGGACTGGGAGGACCAGGAGGAGGATGATGAAGAGGAGGATGAGGAAGGCGTAAGGAGGATGGCGAGGATGAGGAGGAGGACGAGGAGGAGGAGGAGGCCGATAACAAGGAGGAGGAGAGGGAGGAGGAGGAGGAGGAGGAGGAGGAAGAGGAGGAGGAGGAAGAGGAGGAGGAGGAGGAGGAGGAGGAGAAAGAGGAGGAGGAAGACGAGGGGCTCTGTCCCTGAATCTGAGTCAGGCCGTCCCTGAAACTGAGCAGCCTGTTCGGCCCCCTGCTGTACAGCGTCGGCTACTCGGGGCGGGGATGGCCCTCGGCGACCGCGCCCTCCTCCTCCTCCTCCTCCTCCTCCTCCTCCTCCTCCTCCTCCTCCTCCTCCTCCTCTCCCACCTCCCCCATCCCCCTCCTCCTCGCCACTGGTTCGAGTCAGGCCGCCCCCGAATCTCAGGAGCCTGTTCGGCCCCCCGCTGTACAGCGTCGGCTTCTCGGGCTGGGGCTTGCCCTCGGCGGCCGCGCCCTCGGCGGCCGCGCCCTTGGCGGCCGCGCCCTTGGCGTCCTGGCGGGCCCGGGGGCCGTCGGCTGCTCCTGCGCGGAGTGCTCGCAGCGTGCGGCCCCGAGAGGCAACAAATTCTCAGCGAGGGCGCCTCCGCACATCGGAATGCGTCTGGCCATCGCTCGGACGTCCATTCCCTGTGCTTTGTTCGGTTTCGTGCGTGGTTTTTTCGCCAAATGATCACGGATGCTCCTCGATGGTCGCCGCCGAACAAAAAAAAACGCACACGTCCGAGCGATGCCAAGGCGTGCCCCTCGCGGCGCCGCTTCGGACTTTGCTTCTTTCGATTCCTGGTTAGGGGGCACATGGGGTTCTGTGGACGCTGCGGCGAAAATCTCACTGAAAGGTAGTGATTCATGATTTTGGCGTTCTCGCCCCTTCGGCTTCCTGACGCTCCAAGACGGCTCAGGAGGCCCCCAAGAAGGCCCGCAGACGGCTGAAAGAGGCCTCCGAGAGGCCCCCAAACGGCCCAAGCGGACCCAAATACGGCCCCAGAGGCCTCCAAGACGGCCCACGAGGCCCCCAAGACGACTCCAAGAGGGGGCCCAGACCACCGCGGGGATCGCCCCGCCGTGCCCGTCGGTCGGAAGAGGTGGGCAGAAGCACGAAGCAGGAGGGCGTTGGAAGTAGAGGAAGGAAGCAAGGGAGAGGCGGGTGGGAAGGCGCTGGAGGCAGAGGCAGGACGGACGAGGAAGGACGAGGGAGGGGGGAAGGCGCTCGACCCCTGAAGTGGAGGAAGGCAGGAAGAGAGAGGCGGGGAGACCGCCCGCCCCCTGAAGAGGAAGGAGGAGGGGACACCTCTCGACCCTTGCAGAAAGACGGCGCCCCAAACGGATTGGGATCTGGGGGCCCCGGAGCACCGACTTCCAACGACCGGCGGGTAAACGATCGGCCGTTTCCGAAACGTCAAACCGCTTGGTATCGATCGATTAATACGGGGGTCGCCGCTGGCGTTCAGCGTGGAACGCCGGCGGCGGGGTCGCCGCCGGTCGGTGCGACGCGAACCTACCGCACAGCCAGGCTGCTGAAATAATAAACTCTGAATAACAAAAACGAAGCCCCTGCTTCCCAAGTGGAGCCACAACATTTAAAGGAACGGCCGAGACCCTTTCAAGCGGAGGTCCGTCATCATTGGCCTTCGTTCTTGAAGCCACATCCCCTCTGCGCGCGGCATTTTCATAAAACAGACACCGAAGGGGCTGGCCATCACAAAAACATCGGAACGCATACAAACCTAAGGAATCACCAAGCCACCAAGCCCCTTCCAACCTCGAACTGATTCTGCTCCGGAGATCCTCGCGCCGCATTGTTGTTCGCGATGGGCAGTTTTGCCCTGTTTCGGGGCTCGGGACCCTCACGGATCGATCCAGCTCGAAACACGCCGCAGGAAGATGGGGGTCCAGGTCTCTGGTCGGGCTTGCGTACATGAAGGGGCCCTGGGACACACAAATAAATACACACAAATCATATGATTCCCCATATGTTCCTATATCTTCTGGGTTCCTGTCTTCCCGCCCACTTCCCCTATTTTCACATATTTTCCTGGGAATCGCCGATTCATTGTGCCTGTGTGCTTCTTTCCCTCCTGAACAGAGCTGCATCTTTCCCGTGGCGTCGGACCCCAGGGCTCCCCAAACCTCTCCCCGCGGCGCGCTCGGACCGGAATCTCGAGGAGAACCCAGCCGTGGCGACGACCCCGAGGCCTCTCCAGGAGCCGCGGTGCGGGCATCTTCCTGCCCTGGGCAGCCGCATGCGAACCCTGCCCCGCTCGGGTCGGGCGAAAGGGGGGGATAGCAGAGGAGGGGTTTGAGAATCAGCTCACGTAGCTGATTTTCCCGGCGCCTTCCGGCGCCGGAGGCGGCGATGTATCGAGGAATGGGCCCCTCGGTGGGGCCGCAACCAGCTGCATGCAGCAAATTTCGTAACCCCCCCTTTTCCAATCCCCCCCTTTCGCCCGGCCCGATCGTAGGCAGCCGCATGCGAGCCCTGCCCCGCAGGTCAGTCTTCTGAAAGCCTGGCTTGGTTTCAGAAGTGGAAGGCTCTCTGCAGCCAGTTGACCCCAGCGGGAGCGTCCGAGGACTGATTTTCATTTCGTCCGCGTTCGTTTGGTCCTCTGTTGATTGGCCCTCTTTCGTTCCGTCCTCTTTCGAAACCCGCGCGAATTGAAACTAGACGAACAGAAGCGGACGAATCGAACCGGACGGGATGAGAGGACGAAGTGAAAAGGAAAACACCCGAGTCAGTGCAGCGTAGCAGCAGGGTTCGCACATGGTCGTGGGGAAATCCAGAGTTACCAATACCTATACGACCACCCTTCGGGTGATAAGGAGGTTCGGGGGGGGGAACCAACGTCTCACTCAATCGGTCTCACTATCGGTCTCACTATCGATCTCACTATCGATCTCACTATCGGTCTCGCTCGATCGATCTCACTCGATCGATTTCACAATCGATCTCACTCGATCTATATCATTCGCTGGATCTCACAAGGGACCTGACTATCGATATCACAATCGTCATCACAATCGATCTCGCATTCGGTCTCACGATCGATCTCACTATCGATATCACAATCGATCTCACAATCAACGTCATCATCGTCATCGACAACAACATCACCATCATCATCATCAACATCAGCATCGGGACACAATCATCATTTCATCATCATCGTTATCATCATCATCATCATCATCATCATCATCATCATCATCATCATCATCATCATCCATCGGAGCACCATCATCATCATCATCAACAGCAACATCATCATCGAGCATATCATCATCATCATCATCATCATCATCATCATCATCATCATTATCACCATCGGGGGGCCATCATCGTCATCACCAGCATCATCACCATCATAATCATCATCATCACCAGGGCAGCATAATCAGCATCATCACCATCCTTATCAACATCATCGTCGGAGCACAATCATCATCATCATCATCATCATCATCATCATCATCATCATCATCTGCATCGTCATCTCATCATCATCATCATCATCAACAACATCGTCATCACCATGAGCATCATCATCATCGGGACACCAGCATCGTCAACATCATCATCAACATACTCATCATGATCACCATCATCATCGGGACACCGTCATCATCATCGATATCAGCAACATCATCATCATCATCATCATCATCATCATCATCATCATCATCATCATCGGGACATCATCATCATCATCTCATCATCTCATCATCATCATCATCATCATCATCATCATCATCATCATCACCGGGACACCATGATCATCACCATCATCATCAGCAACATCACCATTATCAGCATCCTTCCCATCAACATCATCGGGACACCATGATCATCACCATCACCATCATCACCATCATCACTGTCATCATCATCATCATCATCAGCATCATCATCATCATCATCATCATCATCAATCATCATCATCAGCAGCAGCAGCAGCAGCATCATCATCATCATCATCAACGTTATCATCATCGGGACACAGACGGGACACCAGCGGGACACCGGCGGGACACCGCGGGGCCCCGGCCGCCCAGAAGGGAGACATTTGGTCCGGCCGCGCCTCAGCCACACGGGACACCAGCGGGACACCGGCGGGACACCGCGGGGCCCCGGCCGCCCGGAAGGAATTCATTTGGTCCGGCCGCGCCTCAGCCACAGGAGACTTTCTCTCGCCCGCCCACGCAGCTTCGCCTCGCCCGCACGGCACGCACGAACACGAAACCGAAATCGATTTCCCGGTAGGGGGGCTCTCCGTTCCACTCCGATCTCACCCCCTCACCTCCGACTGCTACTCCCCGGACCTCTCCCAGGGTGCGTCCTTACCAGAACTTCGAGGCGAATCCAGCGGTGGCGACAAAGGCCCGCCAGGAGGCCCAAAGGGGGGAAAACGATCGGGGACCTACCGACACGGGTCAATCCAAACCCTGGTCAGTCGGGCCTTGCAGGCTCCTGCAAGGTCCTACAGGATCCTGCACCCAAGCCGGGGCCAAGGCGCCCCTGGCTCTACAGGGTCCTGCAAGATCCGGCGTTCTGACTGTCCCCTGTGTGCATTGACCCCCGTCTCTTGAGCCCCGACCCGAAATGAGGGAAGGGTAGCGGTATCGGTGCAGTCGGACATGTTCCTCCTCTGCGCCCTGCGCTGCACAACGATCAGCCCCGTGAACACAAGATGCCTGCCTTCAAAATAGGAGCATGAACTGACTCCTGAGAGGAACGGGCACAACCGCCTCCGACTTCGGGGAGGATAGACTCCTGACCACCTACCAGACCACCCCAACCCAACCCGAAGACCCGAATTTCGGGTCTGGGGGGGGTATGGGCTCCATGTGTGTTTTTTCGACGTTCCCGGACCCCCCCCTCACTAGAAATCGAGGGCAAATCTGAGCCTTCGGGTTGGATTGGGGTGGTTTGGTGGGAGGGTGGACTCCTGCCCTGCCTCAGACGACGCAGCGGCCGCGTCTTCCAGCCTCCGACCACACGCGCGGCACACTTCACGAACCGACCTCGATCTTAATTCTCGATCTTAGACCTTTTCGGGGAGACGTAAGACCCTGGTACGGGTGACTCGGGTTGGCCCGACGGGGCCATCGTAAAAATGACGAGGCCCAATCTGAGATTTGACGCGAGCTCCCGCTGCAGACATCCCACGAAAACTGGACCGTCAAAATCCAGGACACGCTCGTCAAAAAACGATGGCGAACCTGAGTTCTGGCTTACCCGGGTCTTGCGTTCCCCCGACCTTTGAACAGGGACCGACCGTCCCGGCATTCCTATAGTCATACCACGAAATGTTCTTAGAAGCCCCAAAGGGTCTTCAAGAAACCCCCGCGCAATCATGGGACAACAGATAATTTGTCCGCCGGCTTAGTGACGGATTGGGACCCCGACAATAGTTGGAAATGAATTATTCACGTCGGCGGATGCATGAGAGGCCATGGGAAGTGCTCAAAAATCCCATCGCTCAACGCCTGGCGGCGGCCTCCTCCTCCTCCTCCTCCTCCTCTTCCTCC